TTAGTGCAAGCACATGAACTCCCAGAACAGAAACTGAGGCTGCTGCATTGCTGTGAACTGGACCATAGTTTGGCTTAGTATGTCATCCAAACCTGGGGTTGTGGTTTATCTCCTCCAGATGAACCACAAGGTGAAAATGAAGAACAGACCATGGGTACAGCTGGTTTTTGGTCTGGAGCAAGACAAACCATGTATGTGGGTTCGAACAACACAAGTTAAGCCATGTATTAGCTCCCAGAAGCAGCAGGACCAGAGAAGGAGCTAAGAAGCCATGATCTCTCCATGCTTGTGCTGAGCCATGATTTGGCTTCACATTTACATGCAAACGGGATCAGTATCTCATAGATACTGGCCCAAGACAAAGGACCAAATCCAGATAAGCTTGGAACTAATAGAGCTGGTCCCCAGCAAAGAGAACTCCAAAGGGCTCTGAGTGATGTTTCATTCTTCCCTGCTGTCTCGCAGCATCTGTCCCGTTGCCCAGTTCAAGATTTGTAACAACAACAAAAACCCCATCAGGATATCTGTAGTTCTATGTGGCAATTCCATTTCTTCCATAGGCAACAGTTCTTGGAGAAGACCCTTGAAGGTTTGCGCCAGAGGGAAAGGTAGTTTAAAAGAACGATCACTGTCACTTTCTTCTCTGGTCCAATATGTTACTCTTTGTATTATTCTGAAAACCTAGTTTGACTGGAGGTGAGAGTACAACAAAAGAATTGTGTACATACAATGTAGGGGTAGCCAACGTAGTGGCCTCCACATGGTGTTCGACTACAACTCCCATCATCCCTTCTCTCCAGGGAGGCTCGCCTGGCACCATCATTATATATCTTTAGGTGCCAGGCAAAAACTTTCCTCTATAATCATGCCTTTGGCCTTTTAACTATCTGGCCTTTTTTCCTTTCTTTTTATTTGGCTTGTTGGTTTGTTTGTTGCACAAGAAAATATTTCATAAAAATTAATTTTAAAAACTACCTGGCCTTTTAGAAGTGAGTGGGATGTTTTTTATTTCTTTTTCCTCTTGGTTTCCATATATCTCGGGGCCGAGGGTTGTCTGTCTGTTTGGTTGGTTCTAAATTGCTTTAGGTTGCCCTGGGCAAGATAAAGTGACTTAATTTAATAAATAACTAAATAATCATATACAAATTTAATAAATAACTAAATGAGCATATACAAATCCTGTGCAAATCTGTATCTCTCTCTCTCTCTCTCTCTCTCTCTCTCTTTGCAATGGATTTCCTGTTGCTTTTGTTGTTTTTACTATCCTTCTCTATTGTCACCTCCAGCCTTACAAACAGCTGGCTGTCTTCAGTCAGTTATTATTATTATTATTATTATTATTATTATTATTATTATTATTTATACCCCACCCTACCCAGCTAAGACTGGGCTCAGGGCAGCTAACACCCAATATAAAAACAAATTGATTGAAATACAACTTAAAAACAAGATTAAAATACAACATTAAAACATTAAAATACAGCCTCATTTGAATGGAAACTCAAATCAAAAACTTTTTTGGGGATGAAAACATCATGATGATGGAGGTCATGTCATCATTAGAGCACTGATGATTAAAATGCATGGATGAGTCTTTGTGGAGAGAACCGAGATTACACCCAGGAGTTCTGCTGTGGGTTCTTCTTGTGTGGCCTTCCACACCCTGGTGCCCTCCTGACATTGTGGACTACAGCTTCCACCAGCCCCAGCTAGCATGGCCAACGGTCGGGGATGAGGGAAGTTGCAGCCCACAACACATCACTGGGCGGCACTATGTTGGCTAACCTTCCATGTATTGACTTTATTATTGTCCTGGCTTGCACTGTCCCCAAGGTGCTGCCCACACTGAAGTAAGAAGAGGTGGAGACGCTGGCATAATCCACCAACTCACAGGAGCCATGTTGGTGCCAGGATCTCCCACAACATTTTTCTTCCTGCTCACGTTGTAACATGTTCTGCAGACAAAGGAGAAGCATACAGGCAAACCTTTCTGGACTGAGTTTTTTTTGCCTCACGTGTCAGGATGGAGGGGAGCCGTTACAGTTTGCATAATATCCTGAGGAGGAATTAGTATGTTTGTGTTGGCTTATCTGCTGGAAGCCCAAATGCCATGGATTTTGAGCAGTGCAATAGTCCTGGCATGCGTTGCAGAAAATAGTTCTTTCTTATGTTTACTGTTCTTTTCGGGAGCAAAGGAAATTATAGAGTTTGCTCTCCTAGTGGAATGAAGATCCTTGGCAAGTTTATCTACTGCTTGCAGTTCTGGGGTTCCCGCCTTGTGAAGTTTTAGAAAATTGCACTTGGCTTTTCTTGGCTGCGACTCGGTGGTTGAGCATCTGCTTTGCAAGCAGAAGGTCTCAGGTTCAGTCGTCAGCCCTCCACGCAGGGCTGGGAAGTAGCACAGTCTCAAACCCTCGACAGCCGCTCCAAATTGGTGCAGACAATACTGAGCTCAATGGACCAGTGATTTGCCTTTTTAAAAAAATCTGGAAATACTCCAAGACCAGTACTTCTGAATAGAACAGTTTAACATATCCTACATAACATCATGTTGCCCTTTCTCTCTGCAGCAGTTGTGACCCTAAGGAAGTTTGCATGCCGTGCAATGAAAGTTTATAGAACCTTCCAACTAACTTGGAATATGTATGTTCTCTAAACAGCGGTGGCTCACTGCCATGAGCATATTAGAATTGGCTGGTTGCTTGTTTACACTTGAAAGGTATCGGGAGAAGCTATATAGATCCTGCACCATCACTGTTGTGTCCACATCTTGTTTTCTCCTTTGATTTTAAAAGAGGCCATTTAATGGTTCATGTTGTGAGCGTCTCACTGGGTTTGTTCTTTCTTCTTGCAGCATGAACGAACGGGACCACTTGTTGAAAAGGCTTGGCAGAAAAACCCCTCCAAGTCTCTTCCGTGCTCATTCTGTCCAGCAAGGTGTCTCACGTAAGTAATAGAACTCAGTCCTGAAATGCTGCAGCAGTAACAGGCAGGGTGGGGTTGGCATGCAACTCCCATCCGAAGCCCTGTAGAAATAAATGGAAAGCAGAGAGCGGCACACTGTGCTCAAATTAGTAGCTTGTACCCTTTTGCAAAATGAGGGCTAGGGAGAGATGATCCGACAGAGAAGCAAAGTGGCTGACAGTGACACTCCTATTTGGAACTGGAATTAGGGTCTGTGCCTTTCCCAAGATTTCAAATATCCTCAGACATTTGCAAAACTTTCATTCCTCCATATCCCACCAACCCCCAAAGTCCGGGAGAAACGTATTACAGTACGATCGCTGCTTTAAACTGTATTTCAAAGAGATGCCAGCTGAAGTTTAAAATAATCAAAAATGATATTTTAACGCTGCCATTGAAGGGCAGAGTCACACAGCCTTCTGCGCAGCCTTTTATTCAGCCTGACCCTGTGGCAACAGCCTTGCACTATTTGCTTCCTCAGTGCGCTCATTGGCATGCAGTAAGGTTTACCTTTATACATACTGTTTCAGCATCAAATGGTGTGCAGTTCAGGGGGGGTTTGCAGCATAACTTACCCCCTGCCCAGAGTGTATACCGTTGTGCTTTTTCACTGGGGGTGGGCTGGGGGGGTGAACAGCACCAAACACCTGACTTCCTATCGGGGCACCTCTTCCCTTTTAGTGAGGAAGAGGTCGTGGGGAGATCAGCACACTGTAGATACAAAGATGGGAGTGCAAGGTTGGCTCTGCACCATACTGACCTCCTCACTTTCTCCCTCCTGGTACACACAATGATGCCACTGCTGGGGAGGCCAGCAGCATGCTAGCACCCACTCCCTGCCAGCCCCCGCCAGCTATTCACTTTGTTTGGGTGGCTCTTAAGTATTTGGAGGTTTGTGCAGCTCAGGAATATCTAGTTTAAGGTGCTTGCAAGATACCTCCTTCCAGCCTATGATCTCATTGGTCAGGTATGCATACAGAGAATACTCTGCAAGTGTGTTGTTCCCAGTTCAACCTCAGGGAGTCTAGGGCAGGCCTGGGAATATTGCTGGACTACAGCTCCCATCATGCCTGAGCTTTGGCCAACAACACCTGGAGGGCCACAAGTTCCCCATCCATGTTATAGACCTGGGGTCCCCAACGTTGTGGCCTTGGGCATCCTCATTTCCGAATACGTATATATGGGACATTGGTCTTTGCTGTCTTTATTTGCTATCACACTTGGAAATGGACTCCCTGACTATGCAGACCACCATTGGTCTCACCATATAAGGCTGTTCTTATGTCCATCCTGTTTAGGGGAATTTCCCGTTTAGAGGTTATTTATTTGTGCAGGGTATAGAGATGTAAATCATTGCCGATTTACACCCTTAGGCTTTGGACTGGTTCCAGAGTTGCATCATTTGAAAAGCAGGTGAAAACAATGAAATGTCCTTCCCCTTCAGACACGCTCTGAATGCGAGAGGCTGTTTGACCCTCCAGAACAAAAGTGTCAAGAAAAAGAATGTTCTGGCACACACAAGAAGAAAGCTTGTGCTGTCAGGTGTGATCTATGAGGCTGTGCACACTGTTGAAGGCATCCCCGAGCTTTTAACAGGTTGATAAGCCACAGGAAATAAGAAGAGGGTACTAAAATAAATTTTACTTCTGTTAGCATGTCCCCCATAAATACTAATGATTAAGCGTTAAATGAGCCGGGCCAGTTAGGCTTTGCTGCAATCCTCACCCACCTGTTTTTCTCATGAGCATAAATTTTCACTGTATTTTTAAGACTTTAAAAAGGGGCTGATCCATTAGCCTCTACAACTTCTGTCATCCCTTATCAATAGATACTGTTAAACAGCACACCAGGAAAAGGAGCAGGGAAAGGGTTGGGTGCCCAATAATAATTAGCAGTGCAGTTCATGCAACAAAGAAATGTGTATTGTATAGTAGTATAAAAATGGTCTGTTACCAAATCAGATTGCTTGATTAAGCAGGTAAAAGACTATCGTCCCCATTGAATTGCAGAGAAAATATAGAATATGGGTTGTTTAAGGGCTTTAGCTCAATGACAGAGCATCTGATTTGCATGCAGAGGGTCCCAGGTTCAATCCCTAACATCTTCAGGTTGGGTTGGCAATGTTTGCCCTCTGGAACCCTGGAGAGCTGCTGCTAAATGGGCCAATGTCCTGATTCAATATAGAAGGCATCTTCCTATACTTCCTATGGAGGTCAGTGTGGTGCAAACATACCAGTAGCAGGAGCACAAGATTACTGATGTTTTTCACACTGTGCTGACCTCCCCTCTGCTTCTCCCCTCTCTTGGTAAGCAGCAACAACTGCCCTGCCAGGACGTTACCCTAGCAGCTCTGCCCTACCTGATGAGCTGCTTCTGGGTACCTGCTGCACCTCACCCAATGGGAACACTAACAAAATGATCAGGTAGCTGCACTGAGAAGGGTCATAACTCCTTAAATGGGAGATAAACTTGTATTGTAATCTCTCACCCAGAAGGGTATCCAAGCTAACATCAATATGCTTCTAATACTTCTGCACTGATATCCTCCAGAAAATGGGAAAACCTATAGTTTCACAATATGGCAAGCCTTACTTCCCACACGCCATCAGATAACTTCTAAATCCTCCTCAAGTCTCAGATGATTGAAGAGGCTGAGAATTTGGGACCTGTGTTATGCCAGAGCCTCTGTGACACTGCTCTTGCACTCCTGGGCAGCTGTACATGCTCCGAACAATGGGTGGCATATTCCAGAGAATGGAATAATAGGTGCGGCTTTTAAAAGGGGGGAGGAGAGTTGGGGAGACATTCAAGCTTTCAATGGCTCTATTGTAAAGCCAGAGATGGAATCTTTCATTGTTTGGTTTCTAAAGATAGCGGAAATGTGCAATTAGTCAACTTTTGGGTCACATGTAAAGGAGATGGGGAAGACAGGAATATATGCCAACAGTTTTTCTTTGTTTCTCTGATGGTAGTGAAAGGCAGAGCTGGATTAAACATCATGCTAAGTGCTGTATCTGGTGGAGTCCCGGTCAAATTTGGGGGGTGGAGTGAAGGAGGGCTCAGTCTACGGGCTTCAGCTCTTAAGTTTCCCATTGTGAAAAGCATGTCCCTCTAGCTTCTGGCACATGGTTTCTTTACAGTAGCATAGACTGGTGCCTTCTGGATAATGAATACAGCCTGGTGCCTTCTGGATATTGCAGGCTACAACTCCCATCAGCCCCAGCCAGCACTGCCAGTAGCCAGGGATGATGGGAGTTGTAGTCCACAATACATCACTGGAGGGCAGCAGATTGTCTACCCTCGGTGTATCAACTTTATTAGGGCTTTTTTCATGATTGTCCACAGGCTGCTCTATCCCATGTGCTGCAGAGCATGGTGGTCATGGCAAGTACCATTAATTGCCTTATCCTCCATGAATTTGTCCAATCCTCTTTTAAAGCCTTCCACATCTAAGTGGTGTGAACCTAGGTGTCACAGGTCCATACCCACTCCACAGTTTTAACTATTTAACTATCCTTTTTACCTATTGTCTTCTGTTCACGTTTAGCTTTCTGGGTTTTATTCATGCTTGTCTTGATTTTTGTGAGCCTCCTTGAGTCCTGGTTCTGGAAGAAAGGCAGGAGGGTGGTGGCAGTGGTGGTGGTGGTGATGATGGAACTGTTCTAACCATTCCAACCATTGTGGCGCTTTCTTTTAACTATTGACAAGGTATGTTCTTTCATTGATTTCCCCTCTGCGCTGCTCTTTCTCTTCTTCTCCAGACGGGTATGCGTTTTCTCAAGAGGAGCACGGGGTCGTTTCCCAGTCTCAAGTCGTCCGATCCTACGACACGACAAAACAGAGACCTGGCGTCGAATAACGGCAGTCCTTTTGCTCGGCTGGTGGCTGGAGTAATAAGATCGGGATCAATGTGTCCACTGTTAATACATCCTCGACTAAGGTTGGCAACAGCAGCGTAAACACCAGAAAAGAAAACCCTTTTTACTGTGGCCTTAGCCAACGAGTTTGTTATGTACGCTTCTCGCAGACCTTGAGCACACATCGTAGGGCAAATCCCTCATCTGAAGCCGGCTGCCTTGCTCTGCCTCACATTTGTTTACCTTGTTTATGCAGCAATTTGGCTGTGCTCCACGAGGTGTGAAATTGAAAACCATTTTGTTTTTGCCGCGGTTTTAAAAAGAAAGGGAAGCGGAGGGGTGGGGTGGGGGGGAGAAGTAGTAGTTCTGGGGAAAGAAGTAACAGAGGTTGTATGTTCTGTGAGAGATCAGCCAAATTTGGATAGGAGCGCTGGCATTTCCTGTTTTGCCATGCCCAGATCCAAGCGCGCAAAGGGTGCATGTATGAAACCTTTGTAATGTTCACTGTTTATTTGACTGAAAGGCTCACGGAGAGAGCTGGGAGGCCAGGAAAACAAATGCATCAGGGAGAGAGAGAGTGCAGGAGGGCAGAAATGATGGCCCCAGCAACAAACGTGGCCAGCTCTCTTCAGGAGGAATAAGCACCCAGAGATACAAGCCAGCATCGTATAAAATAGGACGCAGAGACATTGGCTATGTGTGCAGCAGCTTAGTGTGGTGGGGAGGGCCCACCATCACACCCGAGCCACAAGTCTCTTCTGGGAGTGACATGGTGGCTTGGGCGCCTGCAGGCACCGTGCCGCCCAAAAGGGTGGCATGGGGCTCGCGTCCGCCCACTGCTGCCTCCTCACCTGGAGGGCGGCTATGGAGGGGAGGCGGGCAGACTCCATGCAGGCCCCAGCCAGAGCACCCTGCCCGGCTCGCCTGTCCCCACAGGCGGCTCACCCCTGGGCGCCCGATCAGCTAGCTACATCGCTGTGTGTATGCACACCTACAGAAACCCCCTTGTGCCGCAATATCTATCTGTCACCCTGGTCGTCTGCATGGAGGGACGTGGGTGATGTTTGCATGGCATTCTGCTCAAGAGGCAGCTCGAAACAGCAGTTTAGAATGCAGCCTTTTCTCTGGACACCCAAAGCACCAGCAATTCTAGTTGCTCTGCATATATTTCCTGCGATCCACAGAAATCTTCTCCCATCATATGCAAAGAGTGCAGAGGGAACAACCCAGCTTTCAAAGTGTGGGCTAGATACATGCCATACATTTAAAGCACATGACTTGTGCCCCGCCTCCTGCAGAGGATCCTGGGAACTGTTGCTGGTTAAGGGTTCCTGGAATTGTAACCCTGTGTGGGGTAAACTACAGTTCCCAGGGTTCTTTTGGGGAAGCTACATGCTTTGAATGTACCACAGATGTATGCTGTGTAGGCAGCCATGGATTTCGGCATTTTGTTCCGCTTTGCTCGCGCTCTTCATACTGGCCTTTCTAAGAAGGTCCAAACAGCTGGTGCCTTAACATCCTCTGCTTGTAGAACCAATGAGCACTTCTGGGAGGAGAGGGGAGCAAGAGGCCATTTTGGATGAACCTATGCTCCCTGCAGCAGAATCTTTTCTCCACCAGATTGGTAAAATATTGCAGATCCTTTATTTGTTATTACGTTTAGGTACCTCTTTTCCTCTAAGGAACTGAGGGCAGCATACATGGTTCTGTCCTCACAACAACCCTGTGAATTAGGCTTGTTGTGGAGAGAAAGGATCTCCCAGAAAGAAAGAAAGAAAGAAAGAAAGAAAGAAAGAAAGAAAGAAAGGAAGGAAGGAAGGAAGGTGGGTGGGTAGAGGAAATGTACAAAGGATCAGAAAAATCAGATACGAATGAACCTGATGCTGACCTAAGTTTCTCATTTTCTGTTCAGCACTAAGAGAAATGGCTCAAGAAAATCTTGAGCAATAAAATCTCCATCCTGGCATAGCGACTTCAGGGAAATATTTTTCACAAATAGCCAGAGATTATATCTTACAAACGGCATTGGCTTTAAGGTTGCCATCTTTTTTTCTGGCAGGGCTCCTGTGCTTTAACAGCGGGACCACAGGGAGAAATTCAGCAAAGGAGGTAGTAATTGGGGGGGACGTGCCAGATTTCCCTATGTTGTGCAGCTGTCAAAAGCACAGAACGCCCCCTGCCAGAGGGGGAGGGAAACATTGACATGCCTAGTTAGCACTACAGTTGGCAAAGCACTGGTTCACGGGCCACCAGAGGCGAGTTCCCACAGCCCTTGCATTTTGGTTTCCAGGTGTGTTTCTGAAATGACAAGAAACGCAGAGAACTCTTGCTTTGTTGATTGTCTCGCTTTCTGGATGCCCCATCCAGTCTTCTTCTAGAGCAGGAGTGGGGAACCTCGCGCCCTCCGGCTGTTGTTGGGCTGCTGTTCCCATCACCCCTAAATCCTTCGGCCATTCTGGCTGGGAGTTTGCGTCCAACAGCATCTAGAGGGCAACAGGTCCTGGAAGAAGCACGAGCCCTTGGATTCACCCAGTGCTGTTCTTCAAACAATCCTTATTCATTCTTGTAGCCAGACCACATTTCTGAATAGCATAATGTAAACACTGTTGCTTGTCTTGAGCCACATTTCTCGGTTACCCCATGTGCTGTGCATAGACCCTTAAAATGCCGGCTTGGGGTTTATTTTTGCCCTTTCCTTGACCGCCCTCTGGAGCTTAAATATTGATTTAAGTGTATCCGAAAAGCTATCCGCATATGAATATTTATACTCATCGAGCCAAAGGAAAACAGCCTCTTGGCTCCCTCCCTGGCCGAATCATCCGAAAGGATGAATTCCAGTGCTTGAGTGCCACCATCCAGTCCCTTCTTGGTGCCACCTCTGGCCTCCCCTCCCACATGGAACGCAGAGCTTAATGATCCAGCAGCCTTCTGCATGGTTTTGCTTCAACCATAAATGGAGTGGGGAGGTAGAAACCTCTCCATCCTGCTAGTTTGCATTGCTAATGGGGCAGGGGAGAAGGAGGGAGACAGACACATTTATGCAAAAAGGGAAAGTTGAAAGAAAAATTGCCAATAGTTGTGGATGTCAAGGGGCCAAATGTGAGTGTGAGATTGTGTTTCCATGTGTTTTTGTAAGCATACGACGAGGAGAAGCAGCATGACGAAGATTCCAAGGGAAGTGAACAATCTGTTCAAAGTGGAAACAAGCTAACTAGGACTTCCTATTGAACTCATTGGGACTTGCTTCTGA